GCTAGATCGAGTCTAAAGATGAGACCCATCGGACCACTCCCTCTGGTACCTACCTCCCACACAAATCAACAAAATTTTCAAAATGTGTTAATCCAATATCGAGCATATGGAATCTTCCATATGATCCAACCTTGTACCTCATAATATTTTTACATGGCCAGATCGAGTCCGAAGATGGGACTCATCGCACCACCTCTTCTAATACCTTTCCCATAAAGTTTCAAAATTTTTGAAATTTTTCTAATCCAATATCGAGCGAATTGAATGTTTAATCTGATTCAAACTTTGTACATCATCAAATTTATATCTTACCAAGATCAAGTCCCGCCTACAAATTTTCAAAATGTTGATAGTTTGTTAATTCAATACCAAATGAATTGAATGTCCAATTTATTTAATATGTAGGTTCAGGTTTGCATCACATAAATCTCACATAAAGCCCCTCAACACATTCGGGACAATTTCTTTCGATTGATATCGATTAAGGCATAGCCTTCTTACTATGATAACAACTTGGTATCAGTCCATATTAGTCCATAATCTGACTACAAACCACAAGAACACACCCTTATCATTATACAAGAAGTCTAACTGGATTTCAATCAATTCAAAACATCCAATTGGTCCTGTATAATGAAAAATAATAAGACCAAATGGAAACTTGTATACGAACTCCTATTGGTTTCTAATACGAAAATCGGGGTTTTTGCAATTGAAGGTACATTAGGATGGGTTAAAAAGAGGGGAGGTTTAAGTTGGGAGACACCTCTTGAAATTGATCACCATATACTTCTAGGAATTCTGAGTTATTAGTGAAGTCCTTCTGCCGTATCCACCTAAAGGCATCTTAGGTAATTTAGTTCGTAATTATTTGGGGTCGAAGTCTTCCGGCAGCTGGGCATTGGCAATAGAATTTCCTTAATTTCCCGATTAAAAAGATGAGTTTCAAAAAAGCATACTTATTATATAATATACTAATTTTCGAATATTTATAATAGAAATCTTTTACATGTCAAGCGGTGTCTCTTCAATCTTTTTTTTTTTGTGTGTGCGAACATTCTTTGGCGAATACTCGTTAAAATAATGAAACTTTTTTTGTAACTATTAAAAAAATAGTATTTACCTTTTTTGGTTATTTTCAATCTAACCTAAAAAAATATCAGATGTCTTACAATGCTTAAAGCATAAATCTACTATATATCAATTTTTTCGATCTAATTTTTAAGACTGATTTATTTGCATTTTATATATATTTTTTTATATTACACACCTTTTTTATTATTTTAATTGATAAATAAAAAAATCTATTTTGAGGTTATGTTCACGTTGCTAAATAAATAAAATAAAAATTAATACCTTTATCCATGTTCCCACATTGTATATGAATAGAATCACAATCATACTGATAAAATTCTGGAATTCTCTAAAATATTTAATTAATGTAATTTATATATTGTTATAAAATATCGAAAAAAATAAAACTATATATAGAACAAATCATTTAAAGTATATTGACAAAAATATATATAAATAGATTAAATGTTATTAAAACAAAATTATTGAATACAAAATAAAAAAAAAAATCATACATTAATAGATTTAAACAAATCGTTAAATATCGCAATTGAATCATTGTTTATTTGTAATATATTAATATATAACCTCAAACAAACTAAAATGTTCGATATATGATAGGTTTGATAGGTTTTCGTACTGCAAGAAGAACCTAGTAATTTTTGCTATTTTGTTCGATATCATAATTGTTATAAAAATTCTACATTCATGCAGATTGTGGAACAGATAAATAAATATTTGACAAACAAAAAAAACTATTCATCAACATAACCTCCAATAAAATGTATACTCCATATATATAAATGTATGTTATTTCATATAAATTGAAAAAAATATATATTGAATCAAAAAATAAAAAAAAAAACACACAAAGCTAGTTATACGCAAAAAAAAATTCCTACTAATAATTATACAATGTTCACACTACAATTATTTGCCATAAAAAGAAAATCAAAACCAAAAAAATTAATGATTTTTCCAAAAAAATAAAAAAATGTTCTTTTTTTTGACTAAGTGTTAAAGAAAAATAAAAAGTGGACCGTGATGGTTCATTACAAATGGTATACATCATTAAGCTAAGTTAACAATACAAAAAAAAAACAACAACAACAAAAATAAACTATTTCTAATATACACAAGATTTCGGAATATTTTTATTATTTACTAATACGAATTTTAGATTTGAGACTACACAAAAATATGAAAGGAATTTTTTTCAGTTACCACCCCAAAACAAACTCTTAAATATTCTTAAATATTTTTTAAGGGAACCCATCATCCTATTCTAGTTCATACGATAGCCATACACTCACCAAAATTTGAAATCGATTGGATTATTAATTTTTGAGTTATCCTGTCCGCCATTCGTAAAATACTGATTCGAAAAAATGCCTTTGAAGTTTGAGAATCACCTTTTGCCGTCACTTGATGCTGACACACATGAAATCGACTATATCTTTCAAGAGTTCTTGAGATTTACACTTGAAATTTGGGTAGGGACATTCTTGCGACACGACTCTGATAGGCCTTAGAAAATATTTTTTAAACCAGTAAGGAAAGTAGTAAAGTCGGACTGGGCCGACTATATGATACCCTTCACCATTTTGGGTATATTCCACATATGTATACTAACAGACGGCACGTTTTTTGATATATATCTATATCTGAACCGATTTCAGAGAAACTTGTCAGAGACTAATTTATATTACTTCAATACGTTGTGTCAATTGGCCTAGCTATGGATCTTTTCACGAAGCTTAGCAACATAACTGGTGGGACTTTGGTCCACCAATTACATAAAATCGGACGAAAATATATATGGGAGCTATATCTAAATCTGAAACGTCTTTCACGAAACTTAACACACATCAGTCTAAACTTAATTCACTACTCTATGCCAAATTTCGTGCAAGTCGAATGATATATAGGGACAACATTTACCTTAAAACGGATGAAACTATATATGGAGCTATATCTAAATCTGAACCGATTTCCACGAGACTTAACACACATCATTCTAGACTTAATTCACTACGCTATGCCAAAATTCGAGCAAATCAAAAGATTTCCAGGGACTTTAGTAGACTATTTACCTAAAATCAGGCGAAACTATATATGGGAGCTATAGCTAAATCTGAACCGATTTTCACGAAACTTTGCACACATCATTCTAGACTTAATTCAGTACGCTATGCCAAATTTCGTGCAAATCGAAAGATATATAGGGTCTTTGGTACATCATTTACCTTAAATCGGACTAAACTATATATGGGAGCTATAGCTAAATCTGAACCGATTTTCACGAAACTTAACACACATCATTCTAGACCTTATTCAGTGCGCTATTTCGTGCAAATCGAAAGATATATAGGGACTTTGGTACACCATTTACCTTAAATCGGGGGAAACTATATATGGGAGCTATATCTAAATCTGAACCGATTGTCACGAAACTTAACACACATCATTCTAGACCTTATTCATTTCGCTGTGCCAAATTTCTTGGAAATCGAAACATATATAGGGACTTTGGTATATCATTTACCTTAAATCAGACGAAGATATATATGGGAGCTATATCTAAATCTGAACCGATTTTTACCAATTTCAATAGGGTTCGTCCTTGGGCCAAACAAATAAGCTGTGCCAAATTTCATCTAATTCGGATCATAAATACGACCTGTACTTTGTTTACAATTTAACATGGACAGACGGACGGACATGCATAAATCGACTCATAAAGTGATTCTATGCATATTCTCAAAAGTAACCATGGGTCTATCTCGATTATTTTTGCCTGTTACAAACATATGCACAAAGACATAATACCCTTTACCACAGTGTGGTGAAGGGTATAAAAATCCACGCCTCCGAGGGGCCTGGGAAAATATTATTTAAAACATCCACACCTCCGATAAGCCTTAGAAAATATTTAAATTAAAAGAAAATCAAAATAAAATAGGACCTAAAATTTCTACCGGGATGTATTTTGTACTCTAAAAAAAATCCCCCAAAATACCAATTTACACCCACTTCCTTCAGGTTAGTAGGTCCAGTCGAGACCCTCGGACGCTACATGAGCTATTGGCAATTATTTTATTATTAAAAAAAATTATTATGACTTTACATATCTTCAAAGCTTCACATTATGCTAATTTTCTCTTATATAACATACATTTATATATAAATTGTCAATATGGAATAACACATTACATTTCCCCCTAACCATTGGTGTAAAATTTACGAAAATCGGTTAAATATTCGCTGATTTATTTGCATTTGAAATCAACGATGATCCGAAATATACGTGCTGTTCGATGCTGGTCGCCTATTACCTTAAAAAGAAAAAACGCACACACATTTTGTTTTGATTTCTCAAATAAGGCAAACAAACAATTTACCTGCGCCTAAAAGTATGCTTTGAATTTCAATTTTTTTTAATCCATGTGGATAGCGTCATCTATGGAGACGCATGATTGGTAATTGCAAGGCAAAGTCTGAAAAGTCCCAAAAATTGCGATTTTCACACAATTTTTTTAAAACCCAATATTCAACATTTATATTTTTTAATATTTTTATGTATTTATCTTTTAAGCTACATTTATTTTTCTAGTAATAATATTTTGTTTTCTTTTTTGTACAATTGAAAGTCTTATAATATCTATGAAAATAGAAACATTCTCTTTTACAAAAATACACTGAAAAAATTGTTTTTTGTTTTGTGTCTCAAAAATACACAGTACATAAATTTAAAAAAATGGTATATTGTTCATAATAAAGAGATTTCTTTGTTTGTGTGTGGGTGGAGTGGTTTGAGTGGTCGTGGCGGTGCATAATTATTATCATGTTTTTTTATATAAAGCTGTTATTTGATTGTTGTTTTGAATAGCGAAAACTTTTTGCAAGCCTGTGTCCGGAATTCCCATTTAAATCGAACAACCAATTGCTATGGTTAGGAAATCTTCAAACCCAATTGTTATGGTGCCATTCTGTTGGGTATCACGTTGACGGAATGCCTCGGTGAAACGTTGTATTTGAACACACAGTACAATGAATTGATCGACAGACACCTCTTTGTGATGTTGCGGATCGTTTTTCTTTATCAGAAATTGTATGAATTCGGGTGAGAAACGGAAACCCATTTGGGTGAGGGCTGTAAACGAAGAAAAAAACATTTATAATTTCTTTTGTATATCGATTTGTATTAATTTACTTACCCTGATGTAATTCACCCTCATCAATGTGACCCGATGAATCACGATCATATGTCTTGAACACTGTTAGCCATTGATTGATATAGTTGAAGAGCTTCTCAAATTCATAAATATCAATGGTTCCGCTGGCATCATTATCGAACATACCTAAACGGGGCAGAATTTAAAAAAGGGAAATAAATTTTAATTTAATACGTTTTAATTAATAAAAATTATTTAAAAAGACCACACCTAGAATAGGCCAGGAAATTATTATTTTTAAATCCTGACATCCGACAGGACTGGGATTATTTTAAAAATCCCGGCATACGATAGGAATGCGAAAATATTAAAAAAAAAATCCAAATACAAATTTTAAAAAATCCTCGCTTTATATATGACTGGAAAATATTTAAAAAAAAATCAAGCTTCGGATGGTTTGGGAAAATGTTTAGGTCGGATAGACCTGGGACAAATTTATTTAATAATGGGACAAATAGACATGGGTGAATATATTATTTGAAAAATTCACGCTACAAATAGACCTGAGAAAATATTATTTAAAAAATTTACGCTTCGGATAGGATAGGTCCGGGAAAATATTAAATCAAGCTCCAGATAGGCTTGGAACCTTGAAAAATATCATCTAAAAAATCCAAGTCAGTAGCTCGGATGGTTAGGTTAGGTTGAAAAGAGGTGTCCAACATGAAAAGGACATACACAAAAGCCATTTGAGGCCTGTTGTGCGCTCTAGAAATGCGAAGAAAGTCAAAACAGAATTAGTGAAAGTGTATATTAAAAACATTTGGGTTTGATTCCCCTATGAATCGGGAAAATCCGTGTTTTTTGCGAACTCCTTCAATGTTTTCCATTCACATCCCCTCAGATCGCTTAGTCCGTGAAGAGTGTCAATTCCCAAGAATTGTCTCCGAAGGCATGTAAATGCTGGGCAATGGCACAGGAAATGTTCCAACGTTTCATTGTCTTCCCCACACGCTCCGCACACGTTACTACCTTCGCATCCAATCTAGTGAAGATGTGCCTTCAGGCCGAGGTGTCCCGTCAGAATACCCGTCAGTCGGCTTATTTCTTTTTTGTTTAGCGTACGGATTTGCTTAGTTTTGTCTTCACTACTTCAAAATCACCAACATCTTATGGGGCGATCCAAGCCCCATAAGATGTTGGTGATTTTTCTAGTCCCCTCATTAACCCAAAGGGTTTTGTGGGTCTCATGTGCCCATTCTCTCATTTCTTAGCGTGTTTCGCTAAAGGGTTTGGCGGTATAAACCTCTATTATGGGTAGTGCAGTGGCACTCTTGGCTAGTTGATTTGCTATCTCGTTGCCTATGATTCCTTGGTGACCCGGTACCCATATAATTCGTACAGATCCTTGTTGTGAGAAATCATTAATGGTATTCATACATTCCAGTACAGTTTTGGATTTAACTATTTGGAAGATATTGCCTTTATAGCTTGCTTGCAGTCCGTAATAATATTTATTTTATATATAATATTTATTTTATTATTTGTCATTGGTTTGAAATTAACCAGTTAAGACACTCTGTAAGATCGTGCTATGATCTGTAAGACGAAGAGAAATTTCGGTACCCGGTTCTTCGATAAAAAGTCCCAGTCCAATTTTTCCTCCTAATCGAGAGCCATCTGTGTAGCAACAGTTACCTGGCGGCATCTGAACTAGTGTTCCGCTATTCCATTGTTCTAAATCTGGTATTATAGTTTCGCACCGTGTCACTACTCTCGTTTCAGGTATGCGGTCTGAATCAAAGTTATTGAATGTCGACTCAGTAGTTGCCTGTAAAATGTTTTTGTGCGGTGTGTTGTGTCCGGTGTCTATCCACTCGTCCATTGCTTTAAAGCTGCAACCACCGCTTCATATTATATTTGGATGTCTATTGGATGTATATATAATATTGTCTCCAAGGCCGTAGTAGGTGTTGTACGCATTGCTCCACTTATACCTAGGCAACACGTTCTTTGAACTTTCTGCAACGTTTTTACGTTAGATTTGTTATCCATTGCCGTCTACCAGACAATAGACGCGTATGTTAGAATTGGTCTAATAACGCTCCTATAGATCCAGGATTGAAACCTCATTTAGAGCCTACGGCTCTTCAGCAGAAACACCAGCATCTTTGGGCCTTGCCAGCCCTTTGCTGTATGTGGTCGGATGGACCTTAGAAAAATATTGCGTAAAAAATCCACGCTTGTAACTCGGATCGTCATTGAAAAAGGGTTTAAACGATCGACGCCTAAGGCTGGGATGGATCTTGAAAACATTATTCTAGAGCAAATATTGTGTTAAATATGATTGCCTATAGGTGCTGGATGCTGGATAAATATTATATGAAAAATACTCAGCTCTGGCTCAGTTAATGTCTCAAAAAACCAAGCCTGTGGTTCAAGTCGCTCTTAAAAAACTGGAATGTTCGCTTTCAAATACCACGCTTGATACTTTTTTCTTTAAAAAAAAATCCTCGACTATGGTTTCAAATTCCATATTTATAACCACTAACAGGTTGTTGTCTTGACTACCTTACATTTGTTCCCCGACATTCTGTGCCACCCTGTATGCGTCGCATATCCCCCATAACTCATCCAACTAAAAATATGCGTCATAAATGGGTATGAATGAAAATTTTGTTCATGACGTCACAAACAAATTTCGTACAAGACACTTGTTCTTCGGCAAAGATTCTTCGAAGAAAAATCATAATGAAAAAAATACCACTACAAGAATAATATTTTCTTCAAATACTCACTAATCATTAGTTTACATGCCGTCTCCGAAAAACTTTGACCCTTTCCATTGGCCAAAGCGGCTTGCAATTCCGAGCAGTTAATTTTTCCAGAACGGTCACGATCGACCATATTAAACCACTGCTGGACTTCGGGTGCAATTTGGGAATTTTGTGGTGGATATGCACCGGGTGGCGCCGAATAACCTTGGGCATAATCACCGGCATCACCCTGGGGATTACCATACATATTGTAGCCACCCTAAGATTGGGAGGAAATGAAATTAATTTGTTACCGATATCTACGCAATAAAAATTGTTAATTGGAAGATAAATGGGTGGTAACTTACGTATGACATTTTATTTAGATTATTTTCTTTCCTTAAAACCTGTATTTATTATAATTAATTTCCGGTATTTTTTATTTGTCTGTCCGCTTGTTTAGTTTTTGGTCCCCAAAAACAAATAGGCCTCTAGTTGTTTACTAACGACTGACTAAAATTCAACCAATTAAAAACTCACAAGACCTATGCGTTTGTTGTTGTTTTATGGTAAGTTCAATTTGAACAATTCACTGAAATGAGTGTGTGCGAACTAGAGGAGTCTAGTTCATTTTGTGAGCTGAAGAAAGGATTCACAAATTCCATATACAAAGCATTTTTCCGTAAAGAAAAAGGCAAGTGATATAAAGAATATATGCTCTAGTGGACCGTGGTATTTGAAAATTCCGCACTTATAGGTCAAACTTTTAAAAAAATAAACTTATATCTCGAAAAATGCTTGAGAAGGTCCTTAAATAATGTTCTGTTAAAAAATACATCCTGGTTCTCAGAAAATATGTAAAAAATCCCAGTTTTTATTTATAAAACCCCCTGTTAATCAGATTCCATGAAAATACAATCTTTATAAAATCAAAGTCTTCAAAAATGTGTGAAAATATGTGTTTGACTTTAAAAAGAGAGAATTTCTTATATAAATAAAAGGCCTATACAGATGATATTATATTCCCTTCGTCAAAAAACCATATTTAGCTTATTTAAAAGGACACTACTCTATTCAGCTCCCCATTAAATACTCTCTTCAGCTTTATTAATATGACTCTATTCAGATCGTCCCTAATTTTTCTCATCAGTCTACAAATACTACCACCTTAAGTCCGTACATAAAGAGGGAGATAGGGTTTATAAAGGAGCTATAGGGTGTATTGTAGTCCGACTATAGATACTCCATCTTGCTCGTCTGTATAAAGACTCCATTCAGCTGGTATATAAAAACTATCGGAGTTTTAACTCCCCTATATAGACTTCCTGCGCTTATATAGCCTATGTATACTCCCTGAGCTTCAAGAAGTCTATATAGAATCCCTTCTGCTCACCTAAAAAAGACACCCATCAACTGGTCTATAAAATTCTTCTTCAGATCTTCTCAAAAAATCCCTTCAAATCTTCTTAAAGACTCCCTTCAACTCGTCTATAAAGACTCCCTTCAACTCTTCTATAAAGACTCCCTTCAACTCGTCTATAAAGACTCTCTTCATTTGGTCTATAAAGTCTCCCTTCATCTGGTCTATAAAGTCTCCCTTCATCTGGTCTATAAAGACTCCCTTCAGCTCGCCTATAAAGACTCCCTTCAGCTCGTCTATAAAGACTCCCTTCAGCTCGTCTATAAAGACTCCCTTCAGATCGTCTATAAAGTTTCCCTTTAGATCGTCTATAAAAACTCCCTTCAGCTCGTATATAAAGACTCTCTTCAGACCGTCTATAAAGTTTCCCTTTAGATCGTCTATAAAAACTCCCTTTAGCTCGCCTATAAAGACTCCCTCTAGGTCGTCTATAGAGACTCCCTTCAGCTCGTCTAAGAATACTCCTTCAGCTCGTCTATAAAGAATCCAGGCTTCAGCTGGTCTCTACAGACTCCCTTCTGCTCGTCTATAAAAACTCTTCGACTTAACTATCCCTAACATAATAGGCTATATAAAGACTCTCTTCAGATCGTCTATAAAGACTCCCTTCAGCTCGCCTATAAAGATTCCCTTCAGCTCGCCTATAAAGACTCCCTCTAGCTCGTCTATAGAGACTCCCTTCAGCTCGTCTAAGAATACTCCATCAGCTCGTCTATAAAGAATCCAGGCTTCAGCTGGTCTCTACAGACTCCCTTCTGCTCGTCTATAAAAACTCTTCGACTTAACTATCCCTAACATAATCGGCTGATTTTTTCCACGCCTCTTTCTAAACATGTTACCGTTATGCCTTACCCTCATTCGTAAACACATAGGGAGCCTCCGTTTTGCATTTTTCGCATATTTTATCCGCCAATCTCTTTTGTCTCCAACATTCGTTTTGGAATTTGGAACGTTTTTCAATTTAATCGGCCTACCACAAATTATTCGCCAGACCCCAACAAACAAACACCGGACACAGTCGAACCATAAAATTTGATAAAAACACCGGCAGCAGAATGAGTAATTTTGTGAATATCCACATTTTTGAAAACTATCAAAAATATATTGACAATGAGCAGGAGATGCGAGAGGTATTCTATTGGTCGAAATTCTTCTCTGATTCCCGAAAATTTAATACCATTCGTCTTGTTTTAGAAAATCCGCATAATTGTGCGTGAAATAGAAAAATTGGCTAAAGATGCAACCATCCAGCTGCAGGTGATACACTATGACTTGACCAAAAGTAAGTAGTGAGGGGATTTCCCGGTGTTTACCTTTTTAATTATTCCTTGAAATTTCCACTTCCCAGTTGACTATGCATGTGCCAGTGCCCGCAAACAAATTTCCGAATGTGCTGAAGGTTATAAAAAGCTGGCTGAATTGATACCTGTTGGCCAGTACTATAGGTGAGTCACAAAAAAAAAAAAAAACAATTGCAGATATTTGGAAAGCACCCATTTGTCTGTGTGGGATGGTATTATATTTCTAACTATTACTCCCCCCTTATATGGTGTGAAGGTATTCGGATCATTGGACATTTATAACACAACGTTTGATATTTTTAATTGCCATGGTGGTGTATTTGGAAGCTGGCTTTCTTGTTACACGTGAAACTGTCGCCGAGCTCTTGGGATGTAAGAAGAAGTATAAATATTTGTATTTTATAAAAATTATAATTCTGTGTATTTCTTACAGTAAAAACAAATCAAGCCGATGGCTTCCATTTGGACATTGAAGATTATCTAATGGGCATTTTACAAATGGCTTCCGAGCTGTCACGTTTTGCCACCAACTCTGTGACAATGGGTGATTATGATCGCCCCCTGAATATATCACGTTTCATGGCCGATCTGAATGCCGGCTTTCGTTTGTTAAATCTTAAAAATGATGGTCTACGCAAACGTTTCGATGCTCTCAAATATGATGTTAAGAAAATCGAAGAAGTTGTCTACGATATTAGTATAAGGGGTCTGCGTAATGGTACGGTAGCGGGAGATGAAGCCGCAGCAGTACCACCTACAGCTGAAGCTGTAGCAGCAGGTGATGATAGTCCGTTGGATGAAAATAAAACAGAATAATAATATCCTTAATTTATAAGTGGACACTGAAATCTTTTTTTTTTAATTTTTTAACTACTTTTAAGAAATTTATTGGATTATTTTTTTGTTTTTATTATTTTTTTTTTCAAACTTACTTGAATAAAAAGAGCATGGAGTTTGAAAAAGCTCCTTAAATGTTATTTTCACTTTTGGTAAAAATGATGAGATTTTTTTATTTAAGGCAAAATCAAGCAAGGATTCTTTGTGGAGGCGAAGGGCTTTATAGAAAAGCTGAAGAGCGTCCTTATGGGCGAGCAGAAGGGAGTCTTTATAGACGAGCTGAAGGAAGTATTTATAGACGAGCTGAATGGAGTCTTTATAGACGAGCTGAAGAGCGTCTTTATGGACGAGCAGAAGGGAGTCTTTATAGACGAGCTGAGCTGAAGGGAGTCTTTATAGACGAGCTGAGCTGAAGGGAGTCTTTATAGACGAGCTGAGCTGAAGGGAGTCTTTATAGACGAGCTGAAGGGAGTCTTTATAGACGAGCTGAAGGAAGTCTTTATAGACGAGCTGAAGGGAGTCTTTATAGACGAACTGAAGGGAGTCTTTATAGACGAGCTGAAGGGAGTCTTTATAGACGAGCTGAAGGGAGTCTTTATAGACGAGCTGAAGGGAATTTGGATGATGTATTTATAGATGAGTTGAAGGGATTATTTATGGACGAACTGGAGGGTGTCTTTATAGATGTGGTGAAGGGTGTAGTTATAGACAAGTTGAAGGGTGTTTCTATAGAATTGTTGAGAATATTTATGGACGGGTTGAAGGGAGACTTGAGAGGAATAGGAAGCCGTGTTTATGGACTAGTTAAATGCAGGAAGGCTTTATAGGCGATCTGAAAGAAAGACGGTATTTATCTCCTTCGGTAAATATTTCCTTCAGATCGTCTATAGAGACAACCTTTATCTCGTCTATTAAAACTCATTCAGTTCGTTTATTGAGTCTGCCCGAGCTTCAGCTCGTCTATTGAGTCTGCCTGAGCTTCAGCTCGTCTATAAAGACTCATTGCCCACCAATTCGCCTATAAAAATGCCCTGCCATTCAGCACTTCTATTATATATAAAGAATATTTCACTCAGTTCGTCTCTAAAGAGTCCCATCTTCTATAATAACCACAAGGCTTTCAAATCTTTCATAAAGTCTACCTAGTCTCCGGCAAGTCTATAAAGATTCCCGTAAGCCTCGGCTCGCATATTAATACTCTCTTTGCCTCAGCTTCTGTATAAATACTCCCTGAGCTTCAATTTGTCTATAAAACCTCACTGAGCATCAATTTCGTCTTTACTTCTCCTCCGACTAGTCCACTTTCTATTTAGTATTGAAGGTATATGACCATATATCATATCGTAGACAAAATCTAAGAATCTTAAAAAAACGAGTTCAGCTTCAATAAGTTGATATTTTGTGACTTGATAGGTTATCCGTATACGAAGAATTTCGTCTAATTTGATAAAGAGGTGTTAGTTAAGCAAAGGCTTATCAAATCACCATTTTGTAAAATTTTATTGTTTAAGCCCGTGGGCGTATTATAATTTTTAAATGGCTTCCTTCTTGTGAGCCGTCCGAAGACGAACTGGTCAGGCAATCTTTATAGGCGGTCATCATTTAAATACAAACGTTTGCCGACATAAATAATATCGATAATACCGTGTAATAGTTTCCCCACAAAAAAGATTGTTGTTTTATCGACTGTTGTTGAGTGTCGATAAAACAGTTCAATTTGTTTACATTCTCTCCATTAGTACTCTCACCGTTAATTCTCCTTCTCTCTGTTTGTTTCCCCCCTTTACAAGTTCCATCATGTAATAAGTTGTTGGTTTTCCCCCGCCAATTTCATTTGTGTTTTGACCGTTGATTCGTGCGGTCGGTTTATTCGTGTTTTTTTCCGTTTCGTTTTGTTCGTCCATGATCGTTAGTGTGTTGTGTGAATAGAGAAGAATTGGGGATTTTGTGGTGCGGCCAGAGATGCTGTAATGCAAAATTGTAAATAAAATCGAAAAAATATTGAAATAAATAAAAAGAAAATTAGAAAAAAGGCGGGGAAAAAGCATAACATTCCAATTGGAATTAAGTGTTGTGAGTGAGAAAAAAAACAAATAACTTCACAGCTACTCTCTCCCCAGCATCTTGTGGCAAGGAGAATAGAAAATCGTATTTGATATTCTATCGAGAAATCAAATTTAACTGTAAGTGAAAAATGTTTTTTTTAATACTTTTTTTAGTTTCATTTCCCTTCCCCCCAACCTTGCTACCGTGTCAACAACGTGCATTTTTTTTTGTTTGCCTCTGTTTTTTTTTTCTTGGCATGTGACATAGAAAAAAATAGTGGTTATTGCTGCTGTTGTTGTACATTATTTATACACAATTCATTACTGGATTTTCCTCTTTTTTCTTTTTCTATTCAATTCATCCCTTCCCTTCCTTGTGTGTTGGCACTTGGTTTCCACCAAACGTGGGTATTTCTTCTATTCTAGACATGTTTGTTTTTATTTGAGAAGGAGACATGTGCAATGACCTTTTTATGTATGTGTGTTGTTGTAATTGTAATATCTTAAGCACAATGGGTTGGAATTTATTTCATGAGGGGAGTTTGAAAAAAATATTTGTTTAACAAAATTTTAAGTGAATTAAAAATAGACTCCCCTGTCTGTGGCCCTTCAGCTGTAAAGACTCTCTTACCTTCAGCACGATTAGTAAAAACCATCAGATTTTTCTGATTTTTTTCCAGAGGTAGATATTTTTATCCTAATTATGGGGATATGTTTTTTTCTGGGGGACGTACCTGTATACCCGGTTATTTGACCCGGAAGTTCGGGTACCCGGTTCTACGGATCTGGGCACCATTTTTTTTAACTTCCTAAAAGTCGATATTGAGCAAATTATGGTCCAATCCGGAATCAAATTATAGACCACCTACCTACCTCTGAAAAAAATGCACAAAATCTCAACGTTTTTACTAAACTGGAGTTGTTCCCTCGTCTCTGAAGATTCAAGGGTCTTAATAGGTGACCATCTGAAGGTTACCTATTAAGAATCACTTCAACTCGTCTCAAAATATTTCCTACAGATCGTCTATAGATACAACCTTCATCTCGTCTATAAAAACTCCCTTTAGGTCTACTATTGAATCTGCCTGAGCTTCAGCCCTTCTATATAGACTCATTGTCCACCAGTTCGCCTATAAAAATGCTGAAGAGTATTTCAGCAGGTTTATAAAGAATATTTGTCTATAAAGACTCCCATTGGCTCCTCTATAAAATCTCTCTTCAGCTGGTCTCTACAAATTCCATTTGCTCTGCTATAAAGTCCCCTTTTATCATCGATTTCATCTAAAAAATTACGTGGCTTTCAAATCTGTCATAAAGTCTTCCTAGCCTCCGGCAAGTCTCCCGCAAACCTCAGCTCGCCTATAAATACTCTTTGTCTCAGCTTGTAAGATTCCCTGAGCATCAACTTATCTATAAACCCTCACTGAGCATCAGTTTCTCTATAAAGTTTCCCTGGACAGGGACGAGCTAAAGTCTGTAAACAATTCTTGGTCTTCAGCTTGTGCACAAAGACTTCCTGGCCTTCAGTTCGTCTATAAAAACTCCCTGAGCTTTAGCTGTGCTATCCTGCCTCTATGGAAGTCTGCCAGCCTTTTGTGAAGAATCCCTGGCCTTCAGCTCGTCTATAAAACCTCCCTGAGCTTTAGCAGCTCTATAAAGACCATCTAGCCTTCAGGACGTTTGTAAAGACTCTCTGCCCTCTCTTTAACCCAAATTCTTTACTAATTATACGGCTTATATATGTCTGGTATATTTTTTCTGTGTGTGTGTGTGTGCTTGTATTAACCATTCGCTTCGACGTTGGACTTTGAACCGTATCAAAAACTTGATTACGTGTGCACAACAATGAGAATAACCATCACAAAATATCAACAACCGCTGCAACAACAATTGACTACTCAAAGAATAGGAAGCAAAAATAAATAAAGTAAACAAAAAAGTAGACCCTCCCCCCCAACCACTTGTCAGGGAAACCTGAGCGCACTGATAGTTATCGTGTCATTTGTCAGATGCTCATAGTTAATATCTCTCACTATTGTCGTGAACAGTGATTAACAAAAGTTTCAGAAGTTTTTTTTAAGTTTGATGTTACATCGTTCTCAACAAATTTAAAAAGATTTTTAAAGCACCGGAAAGATATCATCCGACGATTTTTCTATACCCTTCTCTCTGCAGTCTTCAGCTTCAGACATGCATTCTCCTACTTACTTAGCTGGATGACACAAAACATTTGTTCCATAAGCCGAACTTAAGAAAGATTTCCAGGTGCGTCGATCTTGTGCGCAGTTTTTCCAATTTAAAAGATCACGTTTTGATATGGCACCCTCTACATGAACATTCCATCTAATTCGTGGCCTTTCCCTTCTGCGCGAACCATCAGTAGGCTCGCTTTTATATGCCATTTGAGCTGGGACATCCTCATCCATTCGCGCAACATGGCCTAGCTACCGAAGTCGCTGCAGTTTGATACAACTGACTATGTGGATGTCCGTGTATAGATTGTATAGCTCGTGGTTCATTTGAAGCCGATATTTACCGTCGACACAGATCTACCCGTAGATCTTGCTGAGAAATTTTCTCTCAAACACTCCCAGGAGCTGTCTCATCTGCTTGCACAAGTACCCCTACTTCTGATCCATACAACATCACGGTGTGAGTGTGAATTTAGTCTGGCAATAGGTGGCCCTGTTTCTAAATTGCTTACATAGACCATAGTAGCATCTGTTGGTCAATACTATTCTTCTCCGAATTTCAAAGCTGATGTTATTAGTTTTGCTTATGGCGGTACCGAGGTATATAAAATATTTGACTACCTCGAAGCTGTAGTTCTCATGTTTCACAGTTTGTCCGAGTCTATTGGACGTCTTGCTGTTCTCTGTCGAAGATATTTGGTTTCATTCATCTTGTGGCATATCTTTGAGTATTGTCTTAGAG